CCAGACCACTTCCAAACATTGTTGGGTAGTAAGTACTTCATTTTGACAAGGTGGCCATTTCCGGCCGCCATCTTGGATCCGCCATATTGGATGCAAAATTTTTTTTCAAATGTAAAGGTGGGGTTGTGACCCATTATTTCGAACTAAATTTTTACCCTGATTACAATGCCGCAAACCGTTTAAAAAAATCTTGATTCATTCTAAAGTTATGAGGGCTTTTTAAAACTTTATTTTTAGCCCATTTTAACATTGTGCATTTACAAACTAAGACCATAATCTCAAAATAGTGCTAGATGAAGATAAGTATACACTACCAGTAATTGTCGACCTATTTTCACTTGGTTATGACTGATGTATTTTTTTCGGCCGCCATCTTGGATCCGCCATTTTGAAATGTGATAAATTATTTTAAATATGAAGGGGGTGTTGTGACCCATCATTTCGAACTACTTTTTTAAGCTAAAGACAATGCCGCAACCCATTTTTTGTTATCAAGTTTTATTTATGAAATATTGAAATTTTTTTGTTAAAAATGTCAATATTTCAAAATCAAAAAATGAAAATGAAAAACGGATCATAGAATTAAGTTCAGCTTAAAAAAGTAGTTCGAAATGATGGGTCACAACGCCCCCTTCATATTTAAAATAATTTATCACATTTCAAAATGGCGGATCCAAGATGGCGGCCGAAAAAAATACATCAGTCATAACCAAGTGAAAATAGGTCGACAATTACTGGTAGTGTATACTTATCTTTATCTAGCACTATTTTGAGATTATGGTCTTAGTTTGTAAATGCACAATGTTAAAATGGGCTAAAAATAAAGTTTTAAAAAGCCCTCATAACTTTAGAAAGAATCAAGATTTTTTTAAACGGTTTGCGGCATTGTAATCAGGGTAAAAATTTAGTTCGAAATAATGGGTCACAACCCCACCTTTGTATTTGAAAAAAAAATTTTGCATCCAATATGGCGGATCCAAGATGGCGGCCGGAAATGGCCACCTTGTCAAAATGAAGTACTTACTACCCAACAATGTTTGGAAGTGGTCTGGGATTGATATTTGAAAAAATGTAGAAAAAAGTTGGGGGGGGGACAATTAAAACTCACCCTGTATATATAGATTTATATATATATGTGTCCGTGAACACGATAACTTGAGTAATTTTTATCCGATTTTGATGAAATTTGGTTTGAAGGTGTAAGGAGGGATAAACTTGAATGAGTTCGCGATCCAGCATGATCGGACTATGGGAACAGGGTTTTATGGGGGGTTTTATGGGGTAAAAATTGGTTTTTCTCACTTCTTACCCTCAAAACACAAAATTTCCCAATTTTTCTCTAAACCTTCTTAAAGAGCTTAAAAAAACAAACAATTCAGTATATCAAAGTGTTTTTGTACGGTTATTGGTTACGGAGAAAACTAAAAAAATGGTAAATTTAAAATTCCCATGTTATTCTTATGGAGAATATTGTAAAATGTTGTAGTTTGCTTGTTTATGGATATATTTTGATCAAACTTGGCAAATTTATTTATTTTATAGTAAGCTATAAATATTTTACTAAAAACACACTACTTTATTAGTTTCCTTGTAGCAGCAAACCTAGGTACTCGTTAAACCTAATGTTATTTAAATAGATCAATTGAAAATCAATTCGGCCAAATGGAAATTTGCTTAGACGGCAGGTTTGCTGCGGCGGGGGTATTATGGGGTAAAAATTGGTTTTTCTCACTTTTGACCCTCAAAACACAAAATTTCCCAATTTCTCTTTAGACCTTTTTAAAGAGCTTAAAAAAACAATTAATTTAGTATATAAAAGTATTTTTGTTCGGTTAATAGTAACGGAGAAAATTAAAAAAATTGTAAATTTAAAATTCCCATGTTATTCTTATGGAGAATATTGTCAAATGTTGTAGTTTGCTTGTTTATGGATATATTTTGTATTTTGATCAAATTTATTTATTTTGTACTAAGCTATCAATATTTTACAAAAAAACACACTTTATTAGTTTCCTTGTAGCAGCAAACCTAGGTACTCGTTAAACCTAATGTTATTAAAATATATTTAATTGAAAATCAATTAAGACAAATGGAAATTCGCTTAGTCGGCACGTTTGCTGCGGCGGGGGTATTTATACTATTGATAGGTATCATATATAGATTTTAATGTTTGCCTCAATAAAAAACTATTTTTATTTATTCATTCAATTCATTTTACAACGAAGTATGATTTAGTTAATTATGCCCCAGATAGAATGGTTGGATTATTGTTAGGCGAAATTCAAGTTTCAAATCATGAAGTAATATTTTACTTCACTAAGAGATTTCATTAATCAAAAGACACTTGTTGATCAAAATGTTAAGTGGTTATAGAGTTTGGCCAGAGATTGTCAAGTGGTTTTGTAAGATGTAGGATAACCACTTGAACATGAACTCATCTGACACACTCCTGGTCACATATCACCATAGACTAAACACAAGTAGACTTTCATGTCCGATGACACTGATCACTAGTGTCGACAAAATTTTGTTTCTATTATTTTAGGGTTAATTTCATGATTTGTGCTTTGTTGTTTGGTTATATAATCAAATCAAATCAAATCATTCTTTATTTATCATAGACAAAGAACATGTATTGAGTAGAGTCAAATAACTTATAGGCTATAAATAAATCTTAATCCATACAAATATACAAAATGCTTATATACATTTAGTTTGCGGGCTAAAATAAATTTAAAAGTAAAAAGTATTCTTTTAAACATGGTAAATATTTAAACCGTTCATCTAATTTTGTTATAGAATTCAAATTGAAATCATGAAGGCCTGCCGAAACTTATTTAGTTTTTGGTTTTTTTATAAGTCTTCTAAGGAATAAAATGGAAATTGGATTAAAAACTCTTTCAGCATTCTTTTAAATTTATTGAAATTTTCTTCCCTCTTTATCAAAGCCGGTAAGTGCTGTAAAAATTTTAATCCTGAATAGCTAGTTTCCTTTTTAAAAAATTCCAGTTTATGCTGGGTAAGTTAATTTTGAATCCAGTGTTATAGTCGCCAGAATTGCTTGAAGTGGATGACAATTGAATTTGTTTTGAATAGACGGATGTTTAAAGATTATATACTGTTAGGATTTGCAATTCTGTAAAATATCTCTTAGCTGAATCTCTTTTATGCAGTTTCAACATTACACGAATAGCCTTTTTTTTGTTTGATAAGAATAGAATCCAAATTGGTCTTTGTTGTTGCTCCATAAATAGATATTCCATAAGATATGTGAATATGCAGTAATGAAAGATATATTTTTCATCACTCCGTAACGAAAGTAACTATTTTTGATAACAGCTGACATCAATAAAAGTAGATGTTTTTCAAGCTCTAATTTAGGGCGAGGGAAAATCGATCAGCTGATTTTCCCTCGCTCTTAATTTACTTTCCCTCGTTCTCGATTAGTTCTCCATTTACATAATACTGCGCACGCTAGTGTTTTGTTACGGTTTAATTTAATGATTAGAATCAGCTGTATGTAATGTTAAAAGTTGTTTTATTCTGTTATTTTTATGTTTAAAAAAATATTGAAAAATATACGTAGGTTTCCTTTAGAATATTTTATTTTATTTTTAAGTTTTAAAAATTAATTGAAAATATATGTAGGTTTGCTTCTTAGACGATTTTATTTTATTTTGATGTTCAATTACAAATTGATTGAGAAATAAAATAGTTGTAATACTGAGGTCTGTTATTCTGGGTTTGTGTATTTTTGCAAAAGTTATTTTCCGGCACTTGTTTCATTATTCCCGTCCTCGTCTTTGTACATGAAAATAGTTCTCACATATTCGGCTTTGCCTCGCACGTGAAATTGGGGTTCCCTGTGTTCGGCTTCGCCTTACACAAAAACTTAAACTGTGCCGGAAAATGTCACTTTCGGTCCTAGTAATGAAATATACTAGTCCTCAAGGTATCTATGCTGCAGATTCGAGACATCTGCCTCAAAGCGTATATACCAGAAGTCAATTTTTTTACAACATGTTTAACATGACTATTCCAAGTAAGTAACTAGGGGACGAATTATTGTTTATGATTAGATCGTTTTATTTGGTTAAACCAGGTTTTAAATGACCAAAATAACAAGAAACAAATTGTAAATAAAACACGACCTCTACAGTGCACCAGACAGAACTACAGTAACAACAGACATAACTACAGTAACAATAAAATTGTCATCAGCTGGATCCATAAAGATGAGAAATCAAATCTAAAAAGGGAGTAGGTTTCATCTATGACATCACTCTTCTCAATATTCTGTCATGAACAAGTTAACTTCAATATGTGAAAGTGAAAATAATAACATATTTGTTGATTTATAAATGCATTGGTGATGGTGTATATTTACAAGAATAGGACTAAACAATTGAGACTAGTTGCATGGGACAACATAGATCATTTTAAGAAATTTTTAAAATTAAAAACTGTATTCGCTATGTAATGCTTGTTTCACGTTACACAATAATAGCAAAGAAAGGCATTATATAATATTAATATTAGGTACTTTTTAACCTTGAAAACATCATTATCATAAATTTAAAATGATGTAAATTAAAAAATATCATATAAGCCTAAAAATACATCTAAATGCATTTCAACGTGTTTATAGTGTAAGAAATTTCCTAAAACAGTTTTACAACAATGTACCCCTGCTCAGTGCTCGATTTGTAAAAAATGAGGTGCCGGAACTGTAACCTATTTAATGTGATTAAAACCTATTTATGCTAATATTTTCATCTTTCTGAAAAAAAGGTACCGGAAATCCGTTCCACCGCGTTCCCCCCCAAATTGAGCACTGCCACTTATAATGATCACCTGATTTACACACAAACCTCTTACGCTCGTTAAGTCTTCAATTTCAACTGATTTAAAATGTCAATATACTACTGTTAAAAATCCTTATCTAACAGAATGCAGTATTCAAACTTATTCAAGATGAATCACTAAAAGATAAAAGTTACCTTGGGCAAGAATTGTGGTGATAGTAACATTATCTGGTGTAACAATTTCTTTCCACAGCGTATAGCAAGAGTTTGCTTCCTTGCATTGTTCGACAGATTCTGGCTCGTCTTTTTCCTAAAAATTATTTAAAACCATCGTAAACAGATTTAAAAGCAGCATAAGTTAAATTAATGAACTAATAGACACCAAAAGTAACATTCAAATCTTTATGATGGTAACTTTTCCAGTACAGTTAGGTAAATTGACAATCTTTAAAGGAGTTTTGTTAAATATTATGTAGCAAGAAAAATTAGTTTTGTCTACTCAACCACTATTGGTGAGTCTTACACTTATTGGTGTAGTCTGTTAATATAATTCATATTTTTTAACGTAATGATACGCAATTGCAATGCCTAACAATAAGTAAGTTACTGTAAAATTCCTCTTAGGTAGGACAGAAAACTGCATGTTAAATAATATTAAAACAGCCAATCAAAATTAATATAAAATAAGAACTTATATACAAAGAGTCCCACAAAGAGGTAGCTATTTTTCAATCGATGTACCAGACACGCTTCAGACAAGAACCTCCACAGCTGCAACAGACAGATTCAAACAAAAACACATCCCCCGTGTGACACTTAATTCCGAACATTGAGAACAAAATAGCATTACATCAGACGAATGGTGTGTTTTTGTTTAAGTACCTTATTTCATTTTCAAAACCATTGCAAATTAATTCTAATTTTTTTACAGTTTTTGTTAGATGAACAAAATTAAGGTAATTAAAGAGATAAGGATAGTGATGAATCATAAATAGAATTAATTTGGTTCATAAAACCCTTCCACCAAATCGATGTCCATGAATGACTATGCACTTTTTAAATCACACAAGAAAGCCTTTTTGATATTTTGTCACTATTTTGTTGCTCCACCAGTTAGTTCTGGTTAATCTGAATCAAATGAGACCTGAGAATTGGGAAGACCCATTTTTTACATTTATGTTTTTACATTTATTACCTGAAAGCACAAAAATATGTCAAACAACACTTATAATAATATATTTACACTTTATACTGTTTACTCACAAGACGGTAAATACAGTAGACCCCCTCTTAACCGACCTCGTATTAACCGATAATCGGATTATCCGCCTTTGATCGTAAAATAATACAGTTTGTTTTAAGCGACCTTGCTTTGAGAGCAGCTCGGTTTAACCGCCGTTTTCTAGGAATCTCTGCATTTCCGCTCCCACGCTGGGCGATGAGAACTGAACCATACGCTTATCTCCACAGGATATGACTAACAATAAGTTATTTTGTGACGATCACAAAAAATATAGCATAGCCTATTGTCAGTTTGTCATCATCGTTCGTAGCTCGAGCACATCTGATCTGATTTGTTATCTGTGCGGCAAATTTATAACATCATAAAGTGCGTTACGATTTTGAGAACTGATTATCTTATCGCTGGAGTAAACAAACAACGCAACTTGTAGGGAGGGGTGGGGAGGGGTGTTAACAACTCCAAGGTCAAGATAGTTTTTGTGCCTCGAGCCTCCAGTGAGAGGCTATAAATAAACGTCCTGTCTTGTAACAAAATGGTCGCTTGTATCTTTAATGACGACAAAAGGTTCTTTACTGTATTACGATGTATTTGGAAAGCATTAATTAATACACTACAGTAGTAAAGTTATTAAAATAGGAATTTTATTGACTCTTGCCTAGTATTATAATATATTCAATGAAAGTAGATAGTAGCCTATTTGACTTAACCATGTTTTGTGTTTATTTGTGACATTTCTATCAATATGAAAAATGAGATAAGAGTAGTTTATTTTATAAATAATGCAAGTATGACTTCAAAATAATGATTTTATAATTCCAAATGAATAGCACTTTATTATGTTATGATTTTAGGGATTGCCCGTTTTATCCGACCTTTTAAATCATCCGACCTAGGTCTGGTCCCATTAGGGTCGGTTAAGAGGGGGTCTACTGTACATATAAAAGATGGTAAGTGGTGATCGATTTCGATTGGACACTCCAATCATCATCAGACCCAATAGGCGAATCATTTTTGTGCTTTCAGGTAATTTAATAACACGTACGATGCTGATCAAGAAGTTATATGTAATTACTATGACTGTAGAGTTTCAAGTTTGTAGCTTGTTTTATACATCTGGTATCTTAATGTCAAAATAATAGCCTTTTGTGGTTAACCTTACATATATTTGCTACCAATACCTGAGCATTTAAAACAGGGTAATCTTTATCAATGGAGATGAGAGTTTGATTGCTAAAAAAATGTGCACATATTCTTCCTGATTCAGAACCTGAAACACAAAAAACAGAATCAAGTTTAAACTGATGCTTTGGATGATAATTTTCAAAAGGAAAATTTTATTTTTAGTGCTAGAGATAATAGAACCAATTCTTTAATTCAATTTATATTCAGGTTCAAGTTTGCAGATTCAAAAATCTATTCCATGAAGGTGGAAGAGCCCTTCCCGATCCTTGGATTCAACCAGGGAGAGTATATTTTTGATAAACAGATAATATTATTAAGCTACATTGAATAGTATAATATTATAGTGTTTTTAACTATTCTATATTTAATTCTAATAACTTTTATTCAATTTGAATTGTTTAAAGTTTAAGTTCCAGTAGTTTAATCAAATATTTTGTTGATTTTAATTTAACATTTTTATCGCCAACAGTACAACATTTAAGGATGGCTGGATCCAGTTCAGAAACTTAAAGGACCGAACCAGCAATATTACAATTGTTTTAAAGATACAAATTTTACCAGTAGTAAATCATACTTGCGTAGCTCCCACAGTAGAGTTTTAGAGTGCAAGTAAAGAGTACTTTTGAATGAGTTTTTGTATAGACTAGTGAGTGACTTAATATAATCTGTACGATGAAAAAAAAACTATTCATATGGTCGGACAGCGGCCATATATTAGAGTTTTTTTAAACAAATGACATAAAAACTAATTGTAAAATATTGAACTTATTCTGTAAGATAGGGAAATGCAGTGCAAAATTTGTTAATTTAACCATTCACTGTTACTTAAAGCTTATCTTCTATTCTTTTAAATTAGCCTATATAAAATTTTACTTTTTTTATTTGATTGTTATAGTTTTGTATTTTATTTATTTATTAAATCCAAACAATCTTTCAAAATAACATCAATCCTCAATATGAAGCTGGAAACAATAAATACTAAAAGAAAATACGGTAGGCTACTTATTTTTCTTACCTGTTATATATATCATCGAAAGGAATATCACCATCTGAACACGAAAACACATTTTATGTGAAGTTATCATCAACATTTGAAATTTAGTCTTATAAAGTATCACTATACTGATAAACAAATAGGCCTAACTGTCTTTTTGACTCATCATGACATTCGTCTTCAGTGATTTGTCCGCAACAGCACATTCTTGTATTCATTGTATTCAGTTCCTTTTCTATCACAGTTTTTTTTTTCAATACATATGATTATTTGTTTTTTAATTTATAGAAAAAAGTGCTGAAACATAAGATTAAATCAATTCAACCAAAGATGCATTTAAGTTCAATTCTTGGATGGAACTTGTGGAAAGGTTCATGAGAAGGGGTTTTCTAAGATAAATAAAATTAGTTATGGCTATTATTTATTAATGAATACAATACAATACAATACAATACAATACAATATTCTTTATTGTTAATTCGTCAAGAATTACAATAGTGTCAATACAATAGTGAATTGTACATGTTAATTTTCATAAAATTCCTTTATTGAGTAGAAGGGTCTTGCGATTAGCCACTTCTTCAACTCCTGGTGTAGCTTGTTGCCAGTCAGGTCTCTCAGGTAGTCAGGTAGATGGTTCCTCAGCTTGCAGCCGGTGTAGGAAGGTTTTTTCTCCCAAAGAGTTGTTCGGTGAACTGGTAGTGCAAATTTGGAGCCATGACGGGTGTTGTAGTGGTGCAGGTCTTGGTTTCTTGGGGGGTTTATTTCATTCACATACTTTATAGATTCAAGTATGTAGAGAGACACCACTGTGAGGATTCCTAGGTTTGCGAATGCTAGTCTGCAAGTCTGTGGTGGGACAAGGTTGGCGAGGGCTCTTATGGCTTTCTTTTGAAGGACGAGAATTCGATTCATATTTTTTGTTGAAGTTCCTCCCCACACTGTCAAGCCATATCTAAGATGCGACTCTACCAGTGCGAAGTAAGCTGTTTTGGCCACGGAGAGTCCGCCTATGTAGTTTATTCTTCTGACGACATATATTCCAGTACTGATTTTTTTGCTTAAGTGGTTGATGTGCTCTTTCCATGTTAGTTTGTTATCAAGGATAACACCGAGAAATTTTGTGTGGTTTTCTATTGTTACATCCTCTAATTGAGGGACTATGTCTTTTTTCTTACTGAAATTCAGAGTTGTAGTTTTTGTGGGGTTTATTGCTAAGTCATTGTTCTTTGAGTAGAGGATAGCTTTATTTAGGATCGATTTTGAATTAAGGTAAAGGTTTTGGGCTGTGTTGTCCTTGATCAAAATGGTTGTGTCATCTGCATACATGATTGCAACAGCATTTTCACTCTCAATTTGTTTGGGGAAGTCATTAGTCAATAAGATGAATAGAATCGGGCCTAATACAGAGCCTTGTGGAACTCCTCTCGTCTGCTTGCTTTTTGAAGATTTGAAACTTTCTGTGACTTCATTTGATGAGTTTTTCAGTTCCACAACTTGTGAACGTCCCGTTAGGTAGCTTTTGAACCATTCTAGCGCAGAGTTTCTTATACCGAGTCTTTCGAGTTTCTTGCATATCAGGTCGTGGCCCAGGCAGTCAAAAGCTTTACTGTAATCAAGGAAGATGGCGGAAATGTATTGTTCGTTTTCTATCTGGTCTAGGACGTACTCAATTAGTGCTGTTATAGCTGAGGATGTAGATTTATTCTTCCGAAAGCCATATTGGCTGTCAGTTAAGAGTTTGTTATCATTAAGATGTGCCATTAATCTAGCCAGAGCAATTTTTTCTATGATTTTAGAGAAACTGGAGATGAGAGAGATGGGCCTGTAGTTTTGAGCATTTTCAGTTGGTCCTTTTTTATGTTTGGGGTATATTTTACTGACTTTTATGGCGGATGGGAATTTGCCTTCTTTAAATGATTTATTTATAAGATAAACCAGAGGAGAGATGAGTTCTTGAGAGCAGTGCTTTATCATCTTAGATGAAAACTCGTCCATTCCACTTGATGTTTTGGCTTTTAGGGAGTTTATTATCGTTTTAACTTCTTTATAGGATGTTGAAGTTAGGGTAAGGTGTATTGGGCAGACTGGTTCCTCTCCATTCAGCACTGTTTCAGGGTCTATAACGATTGCTCTGTTTTGGTCAAGGGTATTTTCTGCTATATTTGAGAAGAATGTGTTGAAGTGTTCGGCCATTTCTTTTGTGTCGTTTGTGAGTTTGCCATTTATTTCTAATTCTGTAAGGGTTTTCTCTTCACATTTTCCTTTTCTTTCCTTGTTTATAACTTGCCATAGTGCTTTTGGTTTGTTGTCAGCTTGTTCTATGAAGCTAGCTGTTGAGGACATTTTTAGGTTTCTTAGTTTCATGTCGTATATCCTTTTTCTATTAATCATTTCTAATTTGTCTTCATTTCTGTTTGTTAACTCAAATTTTTGCAGAGCTTTCAAAAAGTTCTCTTTAAGGTATTTTGCTTCAGGATCGTAGTACTTCATATGTTTTTTATTTGTACTAATTTTAGTTTTCTTTAATGGGCATGTATAATCCAGTGCTGTTTGAAGAATATTATGAAATTTGTTGTAGGAGGTTTCAAGATTCAGTGAAGAGTAAACATGTTCCCAATTTTGTAGATGGAGGCGAGCCTTTAGATGGTTAAGGTTTGTGTTGTTTAGGCTTCTTTTCATTACAAATCTTTGGGAAGTGTCTTCTTGGTGTGTTTTCAGCAGGCATAGCTGCGCAGTGTGGTCAGATAGACCAGTATGCACAACTTGTCCAGTAATATACGCATATGGTATGTTTGAGCATATACAGTCTATTGAAGTGGCTGTGTCATGGGTTATTCTGGTGGCCTCTAGAGGAAATCTCCAGATGTTTTGTGTGGTTAACTCTTCTTCCAGCATGGTGTTTTTGGAATCTTGGGTGAGCCTGTCGATATTTATGTCACCGATGAGTATGAGGTTTTTCTTGTGTACTTCTTGTAGTTCTAGCGTGTCTGATAGGAGGTCAAGGGCAATTCTTGCATTTTCGATTGGTGGTCTATAGATTCCCAGAATGTAGATATCCTTTTTCTTTGTTGTCTGCATGCGAATCATTGCTGCTTCGAAAATTAACTCCTGGCATGTGTTTGATATGTTAATAGCTGATACTGTATCAGCAAGGGATTCCTAATTTGAACTGAAAGCAATAATCCAAATTTTATTGGCTTCACCTAGCATTTTCCATGTTAAGATCTTATTATGGCAGGTTTGCTACTAAACTTGCCTAAAAAGTTTTCCAGAAATTTATGCAAAGACAAACAGTTATTGACTAAATGCTTATAAACATTAAAATTAAAACACATATGTTAGGCCTAACTAAACTATTCGTAGTTGCTTTGAAATCTAGCAGTAATCCATTGAAATCCATGCTTCAAATTAGCTCAGTTACAGTAGGTACCTAAGTTTATATAACGAAGGTCTGAACCAACTAGTTATTGGCCCTCTTAAATATAATATTGTTTGACATGGTGCTAATCCAACATAATAAATAGGCCTAGGTAATCTTCGCAGTACATGGCATAAAATATAGGATGAAAGTAAACAATAGGCTATCTTATTCATTTTGGGAGCACATTCACAAAATGTCATAAACACAAGAACAGAAATGATTATTCGCTAAGTTACAGCTGAAGGTAGATATTAGGTACAGAAATTTAAACCCTACTTATAATGAAGCTATATTGATGAGTAGGATTGGTGAGTAGTGAGCCCTAAAAGTCAGTAACCTATTAGCGAATATCCCTATAGGGAAGTAGCTATTGAAGTGGTGATTGATATAAGTGTGCCAGCTGTTTTATTGAAAAGTTATAAGAGATATCAAAAAATGTTAGATTGTAGCTGCCTTGAATTTTTATTTAAAAAATTTTGGTCAAGTTGAAAAAATAATTTTAGCCACCATTTTTCCAATATGACCGCAAACTTTGAATTTTTCTTATAGAAGACCATATACTTTAGAAGTCTTAGAGGGTTGTGATATTATTATATGGATAAAATCCATTGGTGATTGGGGAGATTTGGACCTGGGACCTCGGGCACCAAAGCCCCGCTCTACTCCTAGACCAGCTCGCAACCCATCCTTTTTTCCAGATAGTAACGTTAGCCTAAACTGTTTGAGGGGCTGGGAGTTCTGGGTTTCCTTTGAAAAATTAATCAAATCTATAACTTTACCTACTATAAAATTGAATGGCTACTTTTACCCAAAGTCAAAAGTAACTTTTAAAAACTACTTTACATGTTGAGTCATCTGAGTGGCAGTGTTAAAAGTATTTTGAAAACCAAACAGAACCTATTTGAACAACACTAGGCCTACTTGTTGAAGAAATTTACCCTCAGCAACATCGTCTTTTGGCAAAATTACCTCCACCAATAAGGCTCGTACTCACCTATGTCAGAAATGCACAACAAACGTTATTCTTAAGGATCAGTTTCAAGAACAGTATGGATTGCTCCTAGATAGTTCAAACGCCCAGTTGCATTTTCTTTCAATATCATAAGTCAACTACTTGAGAAAATTTCAGGTGTTTACGCAGGACGAAATGTAAATGATGGGTAGAGGATCAAGATTGTTTACTTAGAATTGTACATGATAAAAGCAATAGTATTCATGCCTTCAAAGCTATTTTAAAACTGTAAAACCATACCTACAAAACAAACTAGCCTACATTAGCACTGCTGTCACACAATAAATAGCAAAAATCTATAGGCCTAATATTATTATTAATATTAAGATATTATTATTAATGAATTACTGAATTACTAACATCAAACATTCTTAACTATATTTATGTCTGTGCCCTCCGCATTGCCTCAATCCTCAAATTGCTCATTTCACTAATTTAGCATCAGAATAGTTTTACAATTATATTAAATTATTTGTTTTTAAGATTCTCTGAATATTTATGAATATTATTGTTTTCCAACAAATACGAAAGTCACTGATAGCGACTGAGCCTACGCACAGGCTTCCAGCCCATGTAGGCTTATTTCCTTAATGTATATGTTTAAAATAGCTTCTCTGAGACCTTACATCCTTTGTTGTTATTATTAAGTTTACATGTATTTTTATATTTAATTATTTTTATCCATGCAATAGCAAGTAAGGTGTCTGTTTTACTGGAAGTTATGTTTATAATTTATATTCTGCAATATTTTTGGAAATAAAGTATGTTTTGATTTGATTATTTTAATCATAATAAAAAAATGAAAAAAATTGTTCTGTAATATCATTTAGTGATAACGATTTAATTTTGTTTTAAGTTACACTAAAAAAATATGCAGTTAGTCTGGATTGAAAATAGGCCAATTAACCTGGGACAAACACAAATTCTTTTTAAGATAACTACAAATATAGGCCTATGATACAGTATCTTGCTTTGTAGGCCTATCTATTATAAAATTATTTATATTTTCAAAATTGCTCGTTACATTTCCACTTTTAAATGTGGTATATTCAGTGAGGCGCTACTAATGGAATTTACTTGAAGGGTCGACCAAGCAGTTGTCTTGATCTACTCCGTAACTAGGAGATTAGCGGTCTTACACCGACGATGTTGATTTAAGGCCACCCATTAGAGCTGGTATGAGACACATTAGCCTATTTGAAGTCATTTCTAAGCTGGCGACATAGGACCTTAAGCCCTTGGTACCTACTTCTATTTATAAGCTCTGTGATGGACTGAATCCCGCCGTGCTATTAACCCAACAATCTTCTCAGTTGTCTGGAAGGAACGACTTTTACTAACTCTGCGGTTGACAATTGGTGCTTGTAGAATAAACGTTAGCAGGGTTGTTGTTTAAGGACGAGTGATAATGGACGCAACACGTAGCCCGCAGGGACTAAGGAGATACGAGTCCAAACTCTCATATAAACTGTAAGGAACCTATCACAGCTCTGCGTCAGGCTTTAATGCAATAAATATAGGGTGTTTGGGACTCTGTTCAAACAGTAGCTTTAATGATTGCCACAACAAGCGCTGAGCGTTACGATCTGTTGACTGTCAACACTACATCAGCTGTCAAATAAGCCAATGGAGTATTTTAGTGAATTTGTAGAGGTTATGTTTATCGTACCGCCGGTATTCAAGGGGTTAATTAATTAATGGGTAACAATAGTACAGTACATTAATTGGTATTAATTTACTTTAAGTGCCTCCAAACAAATTTTTAATTTTTATATCTTACTTTGTATAGTTTTTTACCTCCTGAATCCAAATATACCGTTATTTTTCACCGCTGATGAATATTACTCAAGATATCGCCATAAAAATATACAACATTAGAATAAACAAGGTTTGACGGATGACATTTACAAGTGGAATAAACTGTGGGTGAAGTAAGCCTACAGCTGATTGTTTTCAATCATAATCAAGCAACTGGAGTTGACAACTTTATAAGCTAGGCTTAACTCTGATTCGGCAATTTGAAAATCACCTGATTACACTTTTAACTTATTTTAAAACAATAACGATAAATATATCAGTCCCGGTTTACATGAAGTGTAGATGCCTAACGCCCCGAATTTAGTTGTTAAACCACTTGCCTTTTATGAATCTGGTAGCCTTGTAAATTTATTCTTATGTTATCAACGCCTTGCACAGCCCTTTAAAATACGGGAAATCTAAGAACAATAAGTTAACACAGTTTTATAATTTAATGTAATTTATTATTGTTACCAGTATTTTATTATTTTACTGTAGGTAATGATTTATATTTCACCGTTAACCAAACAAAACCTTTAGAACGTAAGCAAACTCCTTCTGATGTCAGAAATAGGAAAAATGCAAGCATTTAAGTTATTAAATAGTACTTTACAGTTTTTTCCTCAGGGTTTAAATTGTACAAAAACAGTCTGTAGATAACATAAACTAACAACTCGATCCATTATCTACACTTTACCTTCCTCATCTAACCTAACTTCAAAACACTTAATGCAGTCATGAATTCGCATAAAGCTCTACCGACTACCCTAACATGCCTAAATAAGAACTACATGTAATTAGTTTGACAGTCCATCTTTATCGATGAAGTGAAAAAATCCTTTTTATAGAAAACATTGTATACAGAAACAATAAAAAAATATTTCTCTAGTCAATGATAATATTTAGTAATCAATTTATGACATTCTTCTCGTCATCTAGGCTATGTTAATCTCTTCACTTAACCTGAACTTAGCGTAGCAGACAGACTAGCAGCACAGTATTGGTTGTGGTATTCTACTATTCTAGTTCTAGTGTACAGTAGACTCCCTCTTATTCGGACACCTTTTAACCAGACATCGCTTTAACCGGACTACAATTCGCGGAAATGACATCTCTTTAACCAGACAATTTTTATCAGCACATCGGTTTAACCGGACTAGATGGGCAGGAATTGGGCGGTACTTAAATGGTGACTGTTCTAGTGGGAAATATTTGAGACCAGTTATCACGTATCTAAATACAATGGTCTCCTAAATTTATGTCAAATACTATATACAGAATACATTTAAATGGTCCGATTCAATGAGTTTTTGTGGACGTGGATTTAACTGAAAACCTGTTATCCGGACTGGCCTTGGTTCCAAGGAGTCCGGATAAGAGGGAGTCTACCGTAGTAGTTTAAGAGAAGTGAAGTGTCGTCATTAGACCTATTGCTGAATGCTGATCCGAATCAGAGTTAGTTAGATCTTCCAGTTGCTTGTCGTGTGGTTGAAAACTATCAGCTGTAGGCTTAGGCCTATTTCACAGAGTATTCGACATTCCATTTGTAATGTCATCAGTCCTACCTCGTTTATTCTAATGTTGTATATTGTTACGGCAATATCCTGAGTATTTAATATCCATTAGGGGTGAAAAATAATGGTAACTTATAGGTGGATTCAGGAGGTAAAAAACTATAAAGTAAGAAATAAAAATTAAAAATTTGTTTGTAGGAACTTATAGTAAATGAATACCAATTAATGTACCGTACTATTGTTTCTCTAAAAGTGTTGTTGAGTGATGCTAATGAATTATGTATTCTTTTAAACATACTTCTGTAAAGTTAGTTAGCCTCAACGATGTAAATAACTACTGGATTGCGCTCTCAGTGGCGTAGCGGGCACTGTTTTCGGTCTCGCTTCCCCCACTCTCTACTGGCAAGATAGCGGCAGCGTACCTCACGTGCATGCTAGCTGTCACCCATTTCAACACTTGTTTGATGTAACATTGTAATACCAGTGTGAGGTTTTTTTAACACAGTGATTAAAATTTATCAATATCATTAATTCTACGCTAACTATGTGTTTAAAATGGTTGTGTCTTGTTCCGCTTACAACTGCACCAACAGAGTACAGAAAGGCAGTGGCATTTCGTTTCAAGTGTAAAGTACCTAATCTAATAGATTATAAACAAGGTGTCTGAGTAAGTGATTGCTTAACTCGTTACAGCATGTTTAACTTAACTGAAATTTGTTTTTGTTTTTATTTTGTTGATAGGGCTAAACTAAAACTGTACATTGTAAAACATGCACAATGAAATAAATGCGTCCTGGCTTATTTTCTCAGAGGTCAGTCAACACTACCGGTATATGTTATGATGGTAGGTCGGGTTGATATTCATTAGGTAGCCTATAATGTGCTATTCACATCTCCCTACTCAAAAATAAAAGACAATTTGAGTTATTATACTCAATTGACTGATTATGTAACTAAAGGTAAGCTCATTAGGGCACATGAAGATGTTTTTAGTTAAGTACGTTTACAATGTATTAACTTTTCAGATTCAACATAAAAGAACTTTAACACAAAAAGACTATTTGTAGCCGCGTGTTCCCATTTTGTGGGCACTATTTTTAAGGGGCACGTCGAGAATATTTCTTTTGGGGAAGACACTCATTAATTAAGTTTATTTGTGACCTTTTTATTAAAATATATTGCCACCACTCAGCTAAACGAAAAAGTATCACGTTTACGCCTAACGTACTTAGGTCTGTGACAGAAACTCACCAAAATTATTTTATTCAAAAATATTTAATGTTGTTTTCATTAATAAATCGAGTGTGAATTGACAAATTTTGTACTTAACTTACTATCCTTTCTTTGCAATTAGGCCTAGGCCTACTTATTATTTTACCTTTTATAGTTTTGTATAGTTATGTCAGTAGTGTGAAAAAACATCTAAAAGCAAGTTTAGTGAATGTGTAGTTTTAAAGAGTTCAAATGGTTTATTCTATGCAAGAAACAAAACATACATAAATTCTTTAATTGTAAAAAGAGTTTGACATGCATTACCAATTTTTCATCTCTAAGTTACATATTTAAACAGAGCAGCATCTAAAAGGGTGTGTTTTATACGGTGAGGGTATGGGCTGTGCCGGCTTCTGCCAGTAGAGAGTGGGGGAGCGCCGGACCGTGTGGCCAACACTGAGCCAGCGATCCATGAGTTGTTTATATCGTTGGTTAGCCTATATGTGAGTGGTGAGGACAATGAAGTTAAGTGTAAACAAAGAGAAAATGAAGACAATTAACATAATGTACAGTGT